CCAAAGAATAGCTTTGTTATAGTCAAAAATATACGTAAAGGTAGTATAGTGGGGGTGTTCGATTATTCTGAATTATATGTATATCTGGAAATGCATCATCCAACACTTTTATAATTTTGTGGAAATAAGATATTTAAACGCGTTTACGATAATCAGATTTTTCGAATACATATAAACTTTTTTTTTCTGTGATACCCACGTGTACTGTCTGTGATATGATGTGTAGTTAGACGATTATAAACATCTCATGAATTTCAAGCAATTTTTATTTGCAGTGTATTTAAGACAACATAATAAAGTTTTGGCAGAGTCAGCGTAATCAAAATTTGAGCATTTATTTGAGCATTTTATCCTTTTTCTTCTCTAGTTCAGAAAAAGATTTATATGTTAACTACATATATTAACTGTACATGTTAACTGCATATATTAACTGTATATGTTATCTATTTTTTTCTGGCTTCGAACTTGTGAGAAGGCGGGATGTGGATCGATATTCCTCTAGGTTTGTTATCGAAATAATCACTAATTTTTTTTTCAGGTTCCATATACACATATTCTTTACGTTCAATATTGACTGCACGGAGATTAAAAGAAGCATTTCTGTACTCATGCAAGTAGTTATCCCGAATTTTAGTATATAGAGCGCTGACCGAATCATTCTTAACAATAGAAATTCCATTTGGTGTACTATGATGTCCAAAAAATGCGCCAGTAGGAATGATAAGAATTCCGAGATGGAGATTATCGTTAGCCATTTTCTGTTAAAATATAGAGTTCTCATTAGTCAGAATTCCATATGTTGAAGACTCTGCTATTAATGTTTTTAACGATCCGGTTTATGTGGGAAAATGAAATATATATAAAACCTGTTACACAGATGCAGTAGCACAGATAGTGTGGTAAATAATTACTGAAGTTTATATAAGTAACTTAATTCAAGTTTTTTACGTATTTTTACAATAAATGTGTATATTTCGATAATACAAAAATTGAATCGTGTAATAGACATGTATATAGGTCCAAAAATCGTTAATTTATTATATTTAGTCAATATGTCTGATTTTAATATTACAACTTTTCTCGATAAAAAAGATAGAACATTACCCAAACCCTTTAATATTCGCCCTGGATATGATATGGGGTATGTGATCTCGTATATATATAATTATTTTGGCATTAATGATTATCAACGGTTCTTTGATACACTCTTTGATAATGAGAGATCATTTGACACTTTATCTACCATAAAACAGAACGAAACACCAGTTCAATGGAGTTTACGGGTTAGAGTATCTTTACAAGATTTGTTAAATTCGGGAGAATTTAGTGTATACCATCGATTTGCTTTATTTGGATCATTTGGTCAAGGTAAATTTGTTAATTCCGATTATCGTAGACCGAGAATTCATAAGAGCCATATGGCAATTTGTTTTGGTTGCTGGAAACTCGTAAAAATCGATGATGTGAATCCTAAAAAATCATTCCATTTTACTAGACAAAGGTATGTTGATCGTCTCGTACCTAGTGATTTGATGATCAGTCATTGGAATACCGAATGTGATAAACCGAAAACTGATTTCGGACGTGCCAGAGTTATACAACGGGCATATAAACGATTCAAAGAAAGAGTACCATCAAATGCACGACTTGCTTGGAATAGTTTGCCAAACGATGGTACCTCGGATGATGAGAAATTTCTAACATTAATTCCACATAAAATAAAAAATCCTACACCCCTAGATCGAATTAAAATGCATCTTAATAAGGAATATGCCGAGTATATAAAAAAATATAATAGATATCCTGTTGGTGCTGAATTTAAAATTAGAACATATAAAGAATATATTATTCCAGATTATTGGATAAGTCGCAAGAAAAGCCAATTACGAGAAAGATTCCGAAAGCGACTTTTAGAAATAGAAGCATAAGTATATACTTAATTTACACGTAATTTATTCACATAATTTATTGTTTTTTACGTATATGCTCGGCAGGCCCGGAGGGCGCCTCTATGAGGCATAATAAATATGTTTTTAGCCGTGCTAGCTTTACTAATTATTTATCGCAATAGCGAATTCCCATATTTTATGAATTCGTGCATATGATACATTATATTTTTTAGCTAATATCGATAATGTATTTGCTCTACCCCGCCTTCTCGTGACTCCATCACTCGAAGTCAGAAAATTACAGTTAACAATATATATATCTTTGATCGGATGACCATATATCTTTTTTCGAACATGTGAGAAAAAAAGTGATAAGCGTGTAGCACCTGATCTTAATCTTCTGACCATTTTATATACACAGAAAAATAAGATAGGGAACATTTTTTTATTTTATCAAGTGTTAATAATTGAGCGTTAATGCTTATGCATGTGACATGGAGCCCCAAGGGAGCAACCCCATGTGATCGCGGAAAAATAATTTATTGTTATATATACATTGTCGAAGTATGCTTTTATATTTACTATGTGGATTGAATTCTGAAAAGTTTTGCTAGTTTGATTTTAAGCTCAGAATTTTCAGCTAAGAGGTTAACGTTCTCGGCTTTACGTTTAGCATTTTCTTCTATAATCTGTTTTAGCTTTGCATTCTCGGCCTCAAGATCAATGGCTCGTTGTTTCAATAAATCGATTTTAGATTGTGTGATAATCATTGTTATATAAGTTGCAGATATATTCCGGAAAAATTCTCGATCACATATACATTACACGAAAAAAATAATTGTGCAAATCCGATCCCAAGTGATCGCGGGAAATGATTTAACTGATTTTTTGTTTTGTATATATCAGCTTTACTAATTATTTATCGCAATAGCGAATTCCCATATTTCACGAATTCGTGCATATACTTCTAACCATTTTATATACGCAGAAAAAATAGAGACAGAGTCTCATTACTTCGTAAAAAAAGATAAATTCGCTTTATTACCAGATTGATAAATTATTTTAATGCATACTGTAGGCTCGAATAGCTATGCTTCTGCCATAAATTAATATGCACAGATTGAACGGTTCGATTTTGTATAAGTTTCACCAGTATTTAAATCATAATAATAACCTCCGTCGTCATCGTCAGAAAACCCACGGAAGCTCCCATCATCATTGTCGTCAGAGAAATTTTCTGGCTCATCGTCAGATAAAGCAGTAATTAAAGAATGTGGTTTATTTACATTGGCTTTTGTATCACTTACTTCACTTACCTCGGTTCCAGTAGATGTATTTACCGAAGCTTCTGATAATTCCGAATCTTGATCAATAGGTATACTTACCTCAGTTTCGGGTAAATCATCTGAAGAATTGTCCTGATCATCAGTGTATTCTATATCAGGCTTTTTAGTGAAGTGGTTTATAATCGTTTGAATCTGAGAATTGGTAAATTTTGAAATAGTATCCGCACTATATGTTTTGATGTATTGAATCTTGTCCATTCCTATTTTTTCGAATAAATGATCAATCCTTAAAGCTTTCTGTGTCTGCTTACATAAAGTTTTGCGCTTGGTGTCAGGTAGCTGTTTGATAATAAAATCATATACTTGACCTTTTGCCTTCTTTTCCCCGACTTTATTGTGGATCATAAAATCTTTATATATGCTTTTGAATTCTCTAGCATAGAAACACCAACGCAATGTTTCTTCTCTATTGGCTTCGATTGCATCAACTTCTGCATCACATGCATTTATATATAGACTAATAATATCTCCATTATCTGGCGGTAACTGGGGCATGGCTGGAATAGATGGGGTTATTGAAGTCTCATTATTTGGACGAACCAAGTTCGCTGAAATTTCAGTCACATGCTTTTCTTCTTTGGATAAAATCATTTCTCGAATCAAGCCCTGTTCGTTTTTCCGCCCACGGGAAGTAGTGGATGCAGTATTCTGGGAAATCGAGTGTGCTTCCTGGTTAGGTGATTCACACTGAAGTTTTTTATCCCTATTCCTCTGCCTAATCTCATTACTAACCCTTTTCTTATCCTCTGAATCTAGGAATTCATCGATCTCTATATCATCCAATGATTTAGGTTCCGTGCAAGTATCTGACCTCTGATATATATCGATCAGAGATGGGCTAATGTCAGAATTTGTTATGTCGGGTGTGTCTGATGCAGGAACATCCTCACTTTGTGAGACTATCTGTTCGGGGGTTGCAGGAGTAATACTAGTTATAGAATCATTTGTTTCACAGTGTATTGAAGTTCCTTTACCGGTGTGGGTTTCAATAGATGGAAAAGTTATTTGTGATTCGGATTGGGTTGAGCTATGTTCTATCTCGGGCATAGAATTGGGAGTAATAGCTTCCACCTCATCAGGTTGTCTCTTGGCCTTTAGCCGATGCACGTTGATATGTGCCGAAATGTCCTTTGTGGGAGTATTATCAATCAGAGATAGGCTAACACCAGAATTTATTTCAGAGGGGATGGGTACTTGTAAATTTATTGGATTATGCGAATTATTAGTATCCATACCTTGCGAGTTCTGTTCCTTGATTAGTGAAACATCGCATTCCAGTTTCGTAAATCTGGTTTCATGTTCTTCCAAAGTTTGTTTTAACTTCGTATTCTCAACTTTAATCTCAATATTCTCGGCCTTGACTTTGGCATTCTCAACTTTAATCTCAATATTCTCACTCTCGACCTCAGCATACTTCTTTCTAAGTTCAGCGATCTGGTGAAGAAGATCAGAATTTAATTCTCTCAATGTCTTAATTGTGGATTGCGGATTCCCCATAATTTTATACAAGATGCAAATATGTTCAAAAGCTTGAAAACTGAGCACGTGATTTTTGGCGAACCAAGTTCGCTGAAATTTTGCCAAGAAAATTCTCGATCATATATGTGGGTTAGTATACATACAACGTAATGCATGAAATGCACTTTCTTCGAAAGATAAATTCCACGAAATATACATGTAAAAATGAACACGATTAAATATACGAAAATAGTTACCAGGGTCAGCTTTATTGATGCAGTAAAAAATAAAAATAAAATACATGATAGCAGAGCTAGTGTCAAGACACGTAAAAATATAAAAAAATGGATTAATCATCTCGACAATGTTTGGGGCATCCTCCTGTACATTCATTGTTGTCATCATCACCACTGCCATAATTATTATCTTCGAAAAAATCAAAATTATCATATAATGGTTGTCGTGATGGTGATGGTTGCCGTGATGGTGATGGTTGTTGCCGTGATGGTGATGGTTGTTGTTGTGGTTGTTGAGATGATGATGATTTATTTTTACGACGTTTTTTAGTTACACGTTCGTAATCGTATTCTTTTTTTCTTTTATGGCGAAGATTATAATTATGTGATGGTGGTGGTGTTGTTGATGTTGTTGCTATTGCTGGTGATGATGATGATGATATTGCTGTGTTATTATTATCTTCGCCGACATCGTCGATATTACCGTTATTGTCATTATTATTGTTATTGTTATTATTATTATTTTCATCATTCCATTATCGTTATTGTTATTGTTGTTATTATCGTTATCCTTATCATCATTATCGTCGTTATTACTATTACTACTATTATCATTATCATTAACCCGTTTTCTTTTTTTTCGTTGTGTAGAACCACCAACATCGTTGCTATTATTGTTATTATTATTACCACTATTATTGTCATCTTCGTGATCATTGTTATTGTTATCATAATAATCATGTATAGATAATGGAGATGATGATGGTGATGCTACCGGTGGTGATGATGCTACTGGTGGCGATGATGGTGATGCTACTGGTGGCGATGATGATGATGTTATCGGTGGCGATGATGATGGTGACGATGATTTTGCTGATAATAATGCCTTATTTCTTTTAATAGCTTTATCCCACAAACCATTTACTTTTTTTATATCGGCCTATAAAAAGCAAAACCAGATGAGAAATATTTCCCAGTAAACACAATCATGCAAAAATAAGATTAGATGGCGGGTGCAGGAATATATCAATAAAAATTTTCATTAAGTGGACATCCGTGTAAGAACTGGTGAGAAATTTTCGTTTTTTGGAATCGGATTTCCGTCTTGACATTCTTATATATTTCCGTCTTGACATTCTTATATATTTCCCGGGGCATGATGATATTTGATTTTATCTACCGGAGAGCACGAAAGTTTCTCCTCTTCTTTTCTGGAAATGCTGAAGAATATTCTACTTCATTGGCGAATGCCCACTTAATGTAAAGAAAGGCATAGTTGAATCCTCCTTCAGAATCAACAGATCTTTACTAAAAAATTTATATCAATATATTCCATGATGTTTGCTGGGCATCTACCAGACGAATTCAACAAACGCATCCATTTCAGTACTTGCATGGCTCCTACTAGATGTTATGTAATAGGTACAAGCACCTGGCGATAAGACCCCATCAAATCTTATTAATTATATTTATTATGCCTACCTTTTTATTGTTTATAAGTTTTTGAGCGACACCCCGAATTTCTTGCGATGTACACGAATTATTAATAATATTTTGCAGAGTACGAAAAAATAATAAATGTGCTGGTTTTTTCTCAGCGAACTTATAATTATCAATAATAAGAGAGACGTAGCGGTGGAGAGACCAGTTTTCATATGAGCAAAGCTCAAAGTATTTATTATATGGGATATAGTTACGTGCGGATTCATATCCTCGAACGTCAATAGTAGAGGTGGTAATAGACATGATAAAGCCTATATTTTAAAAACGTCAAAAATAAATGTATTAGAGGAAGAGACGCGTAACATTACGTGTATATTTAAGTTTTCACACAGATATGCAGATGTAAGGGGCACTAATTAAATTTGGTATCGGTATATCGCATGACCTGATGATGCATGCAAATTCCTATTATATTCGAATTCCTTCTATTACACATATCACATGATAGGTTAATTATTTTAGCGAAGATATCAAGTTACACAAGTAATTACTTACTATAAACTGTAAATATTGCGAGAAAATTACGTGGTTCGTTGCCATGTTAAAATCTCACAACTATTTACCAGTGCAATTTATGAACCAGTTTTGGTACTTAAGTGTCAAAGATACTAGCTCCGCTATATCCGAGAATAAACTATACACCCGAAATAGATTCCCTTTTCATGTGACAATCACAGTTGGACCATTTGTTGATTTCATATGTTCTGTCAATCGTCATGAGTAGTTGTACATAACTAGTTAATATCCATACAAGCGATTCTATATAAATATCCGAACTCGAGATTCTTTACCGATAATGAACAAACAAAGTGTAGTGAATTGGCGGGATATCGACAAATAGAAGATAATTTTGAGTTGGGTCTGAGGAATAGAGCGTTTCTATCTGAGCTAGATTCCCGCCTTCTCATGATTACATCTCTCGAAGCCAGATATATATAGTTAACAAATAAACAATAACAGATCTTTAAATATATAAGTCGACCATGAACGAACAGAGTGAAGTAAATTGTCGGGAATAATGAGCTAGAAAGATTAACAATGTTCTCAACAATGGATAGTCTCGATTCTTCTCCCTCACACACTGAAACGCTAAATCGACAAAAATTGAATTTGGTTTTAATCATATATATCGAACTAAATCTAATAGGTCAAAATACCTCTAAATACACTTAAATCTCATATAATCGTTAAATATGTCCAGAGCACATTATAATATAAATAGAAGAATTGAAATAACTGGTGGGTATAATGTTGGAAAAAGAGTTACCGATGCTGAAAGGCCATATGATTCCATTAGTATGATCTTTGACGGAGAAACACCCATTCAGTGGGCCTGTCGTGTTAGAATTGCTCTTCAAGAGTTATGTTCATGGCAAGGAACAAGATCTACATTTCACGAGTATTGTCTTCATACTACGTATACCCAAGGTGCAAATTTTGACAAATCTAATTATAGTAGAGGTAGGTTGTATGAGGATGGTACTGCAATATGTTTTAGTTGTATGAAACTTATGCATGTCAATGTTAATTTAGGTTCAAAAGCAACTCAATTCGATTTAATGAAAGATCATTATGATTATGAATGCAAAAAACCTCGAACTGATTTCGGACGTGTGAGGGTTATTCAAAAACTTTGGAGAAATTTTAGAGAAAGGGAGCCATCGAATGCAAAACTTGCTTGGAATAGCTTAGCAAATGATAACTTTCTTGAGGATAAAAAGTATTTAGGTATAACTTGTCGCATGGTGAAGAATTCTGAGACTTATGGCCAATTCAAGCTACGCGTTGCTAAATTAATTGCTGAATGTAATAAATATCCTTGTAGATACCCAACACCTAATACATATTATAGGGAATATTATATTTCATACGATTGGATAGGTAACAAGAAAGACCAATTACGATATAGATTTCAAAAGCGACTTTTAGAGCTTGAAGTATAGTATTTATTTGATATGAATATACAATAACACAGATTAATAAATTATATAATTTACCTAACTTATCTATTTATTTGATTTCAGTATAAATTAACTTATCTTTTTTTTGTATGTTCACTGATTTTACGGGCCACAAAAATCCTTAGTATAGATAGACCCGAAGGGTCATTGCTTCGCAATAATAGATCGTGCTTGTTAATTTTACATCTACTCTAACTTCAAATCAGCAGGATCGATCAGCTCTTAAAATAGAGTGGCAGATAAGATGTATATGTGCTTTAACACTAACTCCGTTATTATATCAATAGAATAAAATTATAACTGAAAAATATTCGATTATCAAACTAACCATATAAACGTGATTTTGATTTTTTTCTGTATCGCGGTCTACATATATTAAATGAATCTATATCTATAAATAAACCAAGAAACAATTTATCCAGTAATTATATCATGGTTAACCAAGAAATACAAACCCAAGATACTGACCCAATTTGTAATAATGGGGAGAAGATTAACTGTCGTATTAAGAAAGAGTTGGATAATTTTTTTCGACAATTGATTGAATTCAACAAAAAAACTTTTGACCCTTTTATGCAAGAAACCACTAAACGACTTGAGGAGTTGGGTAGTGTTAATAATAAATTTCGCAATGAAATAGAGCGACGGAAGTTGTTATTGCAAGAGACAGAAAACTTGTAATTGAGCTCTACTTATCCAATTTCAATGGGGTATCCCAACCCTTTCTTATGTAAAAAGGGTCCTCTTTTGCTCTGGTTAAATTAATTACGATGAATTCCCGACCCTGCAAATTTTTATCAAGTATATCAATAACATTTCGCCAATTTTTTGTGTATCGTCGGGCAATATTAACTAGCTCATCATATGTACCACTGCCATTGAAGAGAACAATATAATCGAGATTGTTTCTTATTAACTTCGGGCACTCAAAGAAGCTCTGTGTCACATAGATTGAACTAATATTTTTATGCTTCCCTTCAGTGAAATAACACGCAATTTTTTTTTGTATTTTTTTAGATTCAGTACACACATCCTCGAATACAGCTACTGTCCCTCTTTCAGGAGAAAAGTCATCAACTTTTGGCATTTTATCAGGTTTCATTGCTCTGAATGTAACATCTTCACGATATGGTTTGGGACTATTTGCAATTATTTTATAACAATCACGGAGATATTTATACTTGAGCTCATTAATTTGATGACCGATCAAAACCAAATCATCATTCTTAATATATCTCGTTCCACCCTTTTTCCCATTAAATAATCGATACATTTTATTTCCAAGTAAAAGGTTGATAACTTCATTAGTTTTCCCCGATCTAGTTCGCCCACTTACTAGTAATGTGAAAGGCCATTGGGGTGTTGAATTAAGGCTGTTAAATCTCTCTATATTGCTGTATTCATCGATGTTTAAAACCATCCTCTCAACTGGATCAAGCTTTTCTATTTTCATCTCGATCAAGCTAAGTCACTAATTATTATACCTGAAAAATAATGATCTTTATTACTATATATATGTTAGAGATACTTGGTTATACCCATATATATTTATCCAATTTTTTATGTGTCTTGATACTATTTCCTTGAAATGACTCTCCGAGTTTAGCTCTGCTATAATGATATACCTGACTCACTATTCACATCTGTATCCGACCCACTATTTATATCTGCCGGATTCCAGCCAGGAATAATGATATTGGATTTTCTGCTTATTAAAGTATTAATGGTAACATCAGAGAGATAATGACAATCTTTAATATTAAGACCCCGCAAATTATGACACGAATGTGCTATTGCATAAATAGATGTATCAGTAATATCACAAGATTCGAGTTGAAGACCTTCGAGCTTAGGGCAGAGTCGTGCTATCTCACAAATGGACTCATCAGATATAAGGTAACACCAAACAAGATTGAGATATTTAAGGTTCAGATTTGATTGTGCGATTTTTTTAACCGATATATCAGTAATCCCTTCACAGTCCTCTAAGGTATATAATTGCATATTCGGACAAGCTGAAGAAATTGCACATATACCCCATCTGTTATTTTTTGGCATCCGACTAAACTTAGAATAAGAAGTTTTGGACACGATTCGGCAATCTGTTTTAATGATGCATCGGTAATATTACTTGTCTGTAAACCAAGATATTCTAAGTATGGGCAGTTTTGTGCAATCTTGATTATAGATATATCAGTAATGTGTTTACTATATCCCAATTTCAGGTAACGCAAATTAATACATGATTGAGCAACTGTTCTCAATGATATATCAGTTATCTTAGAAGATTCAAGTTTTAGGTATTATAGATTTGGGCATGAATTTGCGATTTTACATAAAGTTGTATCCTTCATATTATTTAATTTGCTAAATCGTTTTATACCTTTACTATTACACGAAATACTGAGAGATTCCAGAAGACAAATTTGCGTAATCTTACTAATAACTCTATCAGATAAACCACAACACCATTTGATTTTTAGATGACGTAAATTGGGACAGGATCTAGCAATTCCATATAGCTCATCATTAGAGACCTTGCAACTAGAGATATGAAGTTGAAGTAAATATGAAGCATGAGGTTTTCAATTTTCACGCATTACTTTTTTAAATTTTCTCCAACCTATACATACATTGTTTAGCCTACCGATAAAATCAGCCTTTCTCCATAATACTGGAGCGGAGTATAAATACCAGAACCGGTTAACGAATAAGGTTGGGAATAGTGCTTTGTCTTCAGTAAGATATGAGAAAATTTCGGTTAAAAGTTCAGGCAAGACAAGTAGATGAAGTTTGTTATATGTCATACTTATCTTATGAGTTTATTCTTTATCGCATAAATAACCTTTTACAATGAGTGTATTTTTAATAAATTCGTATAAATCATCATTAAAGCTAATTTCGATGAGATCTATACCTTCCCTTTTGCATATTTCCCGTTTTTTTTGATCGCGCGCCTTTTGTGAATCTAAGTCACCTTGATTTTTATGATATAAACTATTGCGATAAAAATGCTGGACTCCATTATACTCCCATGCCAATTTTAGTTCTTCATTATACCCATCGAGTCTCAATCCATCCAAGAATTTTGGTGTGCATGGTGGAAATTTTTTACCCAGTAGATCCTCAAAAATATATCGACAATTCCTTTCATGGATGTGTGGGCAAATTGGACACCATTCGAATTTTTGCTTCTGAGTTTTATAAGGCGCCTCCCACTGATGGAGTCCATTTTCGCATGTCCAGAGATAAACATCGAATCCATTTATATGGCCAGTTTTTCCTAGACACTTGCCAGAACATTTCTCCGCATAAGCTTGAGCCTTAGCCATTTTATTGGCAGCATGAACGAAATTAATGGATCTGGAGCGAGTATTTTCTTCCAATATATTCTGAGGTGGATACTGAAGCGTATCAATATTGACGTGTAAGAGTTCTTCTCGCACAAATTCCCGTTTTGGTGTGAACTCATCACCTTCTAAGTAATATAAAACTGGTTCATTCTTTGTTACAACAATTTTGCGGATAGTATGAATACTTGAACTGAACGTGGGATCCGTAGCTCGTCTTTGATTTTCCATACCACCCTCCCACTCCGCATTAGCAAGTAAATAACGAACGGTATCGCCTTTTTTTAATTTTACTTCATCCTTTCCAACAGGACGCTTGTAGTTTGTAGATGGCCTAGATTCTACTCGTTCTAACCGAATGGCCAGCTTGGGGGCTAAACCCCATTTCGATGAACCTGGAGTTTTAATAAGACGCGTAGGATAATTATTGAGGTGTTCAATGACTTTTGGTAAATACTTAACCCATGCTCTTATTGATCTAAGGTCTTGAGTTTTACTTTCGACAGCATATTGGATTTTATAGAGAATTTTCGAGATCGTCTGATTGAATCTCTCTACAATTGCCATTCCACGATGAGAGTATGGACCAATAACTCGAATTATGACATTATGCTCTTTCATTAACTGGCTAACTGATTTTTTGAACTCCGCCCCCTCGTCACATTGTAATAATTGAGGATAGGTAAGAGGGTTATTTCGATCATTATAAATTTTCCTGAATGCCTTAGCAACCTCTGAACTTTTCTTCGATGTTAATGGAATTGATGTTTTGTACCTGCTACTCACATCCACTATGTTGAGAACTGCCACCCATTTTTTACCTTTATAATGATCATGTGTAAGGAATAAGAGATCACACTGATGTACACAATTTGGCTTGCTAATTTTCCCATAACTCACTCTGGAAATGCGTTTCGGGGGTGGTACATGTATCTGCCATATACTCTGATTTGTGAGCCATTTTTTAATTTCGGAAAGCTTAAATTTATGCCCCTTCTTCCGGCATGCATCTCTTAACCCTTTCGTATTGGAGAAAAAACCAGTAGGGCGGTAATATAACTCACGCAATATAAGATTTTTTTCAATATCACGAGCCTCATTAGGATCTATAACTATACTAGGATTACTCATTTCATATGAGATATATAGGTAAGACATACAAAATAAACAGGTAAGCGTATTTATCGTTATTTCATGAAGGATGTGATCGATGTATATATATTTTCTCCAAAACTTGACTAGTCAAATTACATTTCGATGGATAATCTTGTTGTGACCATCAAGAAATTACGTATTCAGATCCAGAAAAATGAGGATTACATTACTTACCTGGAGAAAGAGATAACTACAAGAGATGACGAGATCGATATTCTCCGAATACAGGTAAACGATCTCAAAATAAGACTCCGGAGAGCAGAGGCGGATGCACAGTCCAATGATAAAAATATATCTGCTCTCGAACTCCAATTACAAGATATGAGCAGTGAATTATTCTCCCTTCAACATAGAATCCAAAAACTTCGGGAAACAATGACATTGGATATGACACATCTACCATCCACAAATACACCAGTTTTCAATTTAATAACAGATGTGAGAACAAATATCAAGCTTTTAGGTGATTCAGCTAGAGGGGATAATACTCTTTTAAAAGATGAAATTGATAATTTTCAGACACAAGCTGAATTAAAATTAACGCAAATCCAGAATGGATGTTATACTTTTGAAAATGAAGTAACTCAGCTAAGGCAGGAAGTTATAAATTTAAAGGATATAAATTTCAATCAACAGGAGTTAACCAATGAGCTGGGTACATTAAATGAAACTCTCAAAGAACAGATAGATGTGCTATCTGAAAAAAATGAGACCATCCAAATCGAATTAGTCGAGAAAGTGAGGTTATATGAGCAAGCTCAAGACCGGTTAAATGAATGTCGAGATAAATGCTATCAAATAAGAGAATCTTTGGAAGGCGCGCATGAAGATATTACAGAAGGTGAGTTTGCATATGATGAATTAAAGCAGAAATTGCGTATATTAGGATTAACTCATATTGCATGACAAGTTCGCAATTTAAGGCAGGCTCAAATCTTAAACGTGGAATTTAATACAGCAAGGACCGCTTGGAGAAATCAAAGAAATAGAAATCAGAATATTACTCAGGAGTTACAAAATTGCCGAGAACATGGTAGGAATTTACAAAATGATATAGGATTATTAGAATATAATCGAGATCGGCTCTTCGATAGATATTACAATAAATTCAAGGACCGAAAGACAAGTCATATCAAGTGGAAAAATAGGGAGCGCAACTCACAGCAATTAATTAATAATTTGAATCAACAAATTTTGGTGCTACAGAATAATCCACCTATAAATAATCAACATAGAGGAATGGCAGGATATGCACCCCCACTTTTTCACGGTTACCGTGATGAAGATATTGAGTACTATGTAAATGAATTTAGGAGATATTTAACTGCCTCTGGTAATAATCTAGCAAACGAAGCTGATAGAGTTAGCGCACTTGGATTATTTAAGGCTAGTCTTAGAGGCGATGCTTCAGATTGGTTGAAAAGAGAGGTCGCAGGTAAGAACTGGGAATTATCAAATATTTATTCCACAGTTAACCGAACCATGGCCCAACTTCAGGGAGATGGCCATGCTCGAATTACGGGGCACTTAACTCCATCCGCTCCCGTAGATCTTAATGGAAGATTAGTGGCGGCCGATGCCGGTGCTGGTGCCTTAATACTTCCAGCACATACAATATTTGATGAAAATTGGGAGCCAGCTGGAGGGAGACCTACACCTAAAGATCCAGTTGCGCCGGATGCAAATCGGGTAGGTCAAACAGTAGTATTACGTGGGATCACGCTTGGTCAGCTTATTAGCCTTTTCAAAGACGACTTTCCCACAGTTAGACGAGAAAAACAACAGTCATTATTTGGCTTAACTGTACAAGGGAATGATCCCATATCCCGTTTCTACGCTAAACTTCTAAAAATGGCACGGATGTGTGGTCTTGACGCTAGACAGGTTCGATTACAATTTCTGCGTGGTCTTTCTCCCGATAATCAAATAGAAGCTCGCCGAATCGGAGTGGATAATCCCATAGATTTTTTAGTAAATCGCTTAGAAGAAATTGAAAAATATAAAGTGGAACAAATGTTAGGTGATTATACTTCTTCCACTCTAACATCTAAATCCCGTGGAAAGGATAATTACTCAAGTAATACAGGTCTGACCGAATCTGAAGTAAAAAGCCTAATAAAATCCGCAATGGCATCTGCGGAACCTACCTCTTCTAAGTCTCAGGAAGATCAGTCTGGTAAAATCACGCTTTCACGAAATGATCTCAAAAAATTTATAACTGGTTTGAAAGGAACTATTGCTAGAGGAGACCGTGCTTTGAAGAAACCTCCAGGTCCGGGAAAACAAAAAGCAGATAATCTTTCTATGAATCGTTTTTTAGATCAGTTTATAGATGGTACGAGCGAACCTGGAGAAGGTTATGACTATGACCCGATTGATGATTTGGTAGCACAATTTGATGATATGAGTATTAACCAAGCAAAATTAATACATCTTGTTAAAAAATTATCCCAATATAAATGTTCAAAGTGCGGTAAATTGGGTCATAATTCCCACAATTGCCCGAAAAATAAAAAGAAGAGCAAGCCCAACCGTTCTAGCAAGAGGAAATCCAAGAAGAAAGGTAAGATTAATAAGGTTACTGTAGATTCGAGTTCTGAATCAGGTTCGGATACTAACTCTTCTGATAATGAATCTGATTCTAATACTGACTCTGAGACGGAATCTGATTCCGGAGAATCCTCAACCAGTTCTGAATTGGAATCTAATTCTAAGGGTGACTTAACTGATGCCGAAATCGCGAAACTTATCAATACTGCCAGAGCAAAAAAAAAGTAAAGCAGAAGGGTAGTTCGAATAGTGGAGCTAGTGCCAAGACACATAAATCATCAACAAAAAAGAAATCCAAATCCCATAAGACAAAACAGAAAAATACCTCCACTTCTGGTAAGTCTCGAAATAAATCAACTCTCCTTGAGCAAGATATTCGACGAATTTTATTGGACATGCTTGAAAAAGTCTTACTTCCACATCAGATAGAGAAACTTAAATTCGAAAATAAATGTTTACCGGATTTTACAAACCATCGAGAGCCAGCTTCAGAAATTCCTGATTCGGATGGGGAAGAGGAGACATTAGATGATCCTATGGAGATAGACTTAGTTCATAGAAGGGATCCAGCTACAGATATTGCAACTGCAGAATGTAAAATCAAACGTTTGATAATTCCGGCTGCCGGTCTTGATTCTTGTGCTAATTTTCCAATTATGACCGAGGATATTGCTAAACGTGCCAAGTTAGTAATTGATACAAAAGAAAAGCATGATCTCAGCGGAATTGCCACTACCTCTACTGAATCTATTGGGACCGTTCGTAATGTTCCTGTGACTTTTGCTCCGGGTTGTACCATACATTCTGATTTTGCCGTCGTTAAGTATCGCAAACCAATGTTAATTTTACCCAATACATTACTCGATAAATATGATTATGATTTACTTGCATCAAAGCGTGAGTTGAAACTCATATGTAACGGTAAGGAATATTTCATTTCAGTTAATATGCATCCAGTTAAAAATAAACTTGAGGTAAACTGCACAAAAGTAACTCAAGATAATAAGTCTTTGACATCGGACCAAATTTCTCAGGAGACAGATTCCGCCAATTCGACTTTAAAAAAAAATGCATAAATTGCAAGAGGTATGTGGAAGAAATGCATGATGCAACTAAAATTATTGCCAACCTCATTGCCCTTATTCAACATTATAAGCTCAAAGAGCGCTCCATAGGACCTGGGTTATCTAGCAAAAATAGAGAGAAGGATAGATAAAGTTGAGAGTCTATGTTTCATCGGTCTTGTACTCCAAATTTGCTAATTCCTCCCTACCTTCTTTTACTGTATGTCTAAAATGAGCAAGTTTTTCTGGATCTATTTTTTCTGTTAAGTCTTTGGAAATGACAGGTGGATTCAATACCCGATCAGATTTGGATCTCTTTGTTTTTGTTCGCTTACTTGATTGTGCTGGTCCCACTGGTACATTATTGCAAAGCAATGGGACTTTGTCCCTATCTAAAGGTTGAGATTCTATATGGAGAACATTTATGGTAGGATCGGGTTTATTAGCGGAGCTAGTGTCAGTGGCAAAGCCATGGGTCTCCGACTCAAGACAATTAATATCTTGATTAGAATTACTATCTTGTGGGTAAGGTATAGGTTGATCCCAAGCAACTCTATTAGCTTCTTCCCCTCTCCAGATCTGATAAATCCGTTTTGATGATGTTTTATATTTATCTAATAAATCCTTTAAAATTTTATATCTTGGTTCTATATCACGGCATTGCATAATATAATCATAATCTGCTGGAGAAAATATAGGTGTACCAAATTTCATACGCACTCTAACCATAGTGATAAGCACTTTTTCTTTTTGTTATTTTGAAAATATAAGATATTTATATCTAGCAAAAAATATAAAATATAACAAAAAAATGTAATATGTTAAATATACAGGTATAATCCTCATTGAATACAGACGTTCTAATCTAATATATATACATTTTCCATTTGCTACATATATCCCATATAATATATCAAGCTCAACATACATATACATCTCCATTTGTTATATATATCCCATATAATATATCAAACTCGACACACATATATACCCAACTTTGCTAATTTTATCAGACTTGTTTGTGCATATAGTACATTAGCAGAGCTATATAAGTTATATATATCATCAATTTCTTTATCCCAATTAATATGGATATCAATGAAGAATTGCGTTATGGCACAGAAATTATATCAGGGTTAAATGCCTGCATTAAAACATTGCGAGCTGACCAATTAAAACAAAATAAGAAGTGGGATCAGGAAAGGAAGCAGTGGGTTCAGGACAGCAAACAGTGGGATCGGGAAAGAAAGCAATGGGAGAGTTCATTTGATAATGTTAATAGCGATAAGCAGAAGTTACATACACACGCTTTAGAACTTATTGGTGAGACTAAGCGGTTGAAGATTGAAAATACTAACCTTATCTCTCAGAATATTCGTAAAGATCTTTCTGCTGCAAAATCCAAGGCCGAGATAGTTACAAAATCCAAGAAAATTAGATCGCTTGAGTCTATGATCAAGATATTGGAAGGTAAGTTAGCCTCAGCACAGAAGGATGCATTTTCGACTCAAGAAGACTCACTAAAAAAAGAATCTGAGATATTGTCCCTTAAATCTAAAATAGCCGAAGTGGAACAAATGAAAAGTGAACTGGTATCAAAAATTAGTGAACTTGAACATCTGAAATCGGATGATATGACTCGATCTGTGACTGGTGGGAGTGGCGAAAAAAATACAGCCAAGTCTGACTCACGGAGTGAGGATGTTTTCGCATCTAATATATCTACAGTTATTGAGCCTAGCAAAAGTCTTAGACCGTATCTAGCACGCAGAAAAATTATGGAAGAGGCAAAAAAAAATGATGATAATGTTTTGGCATATATCAATGATGAGATTAGTGAACCACCAAAAGTCGATACTGAGGTTATTCCCAAGGTAAGTGATGATGAAACTAATAAAGATAATATACAAGATGCGTGGATAAAACCCGATGTATCGCCAATTACATCAGAGAATGTGATCTCGCACCTTGCACAAGAAAACCATACTCCCTTTCCAATTAAATCATATCCTCAATTTTCAGTGGGAGGAATAGAAGCAATTCCTAATATAGCAGGTAGTTCACCTCTAATGGCATTTATTATACTCGGTTTATTAATTATAGCTTTTATATGGTTCGTGATAAAGCGCGCGTGGAGGTTGGAGAGGAAAAGTGAGCAGTTACGGAATGCATGGGCTGGATAACAAGAGTATCTATTTGAACTTGGATATTATTTATGTACGAAAAAATTATCTTAATATTTATAATGTATAAGTATCTTAGTGAAGTCTGACAATTCTAACCAAGATTACTTAATAATATAGGTCTGTTCCGCATAATTGTTATTACTTGTAGATGTATTATCTCAAGACTTAATATATATATATCGATTTTTACTACAGGAAAATGACCCTTTGAGTTATATCTTCACTTCACATGATGTATAGAATATGTTAACCGATTCATTCCACGTTTTTTGAAAGCTTTCGAGTATTAATCTTTCAGCTTCTGATATACGAGATAAGGTTGGTTGCTCAATAATTATTTCATTTTTTCTCATAGTCTCGAATACACCAATTTTATCCAGAATTTTTATATGTTCTTTATATCTCATATGGTATACCAACTTATGGAAGAATGGATTGTATTCCATAGCAATTTTTTTAACACTATCGATATGTTTCGTA